GATAAAGGTCCCAGGCCCAAAAACTTTTTCTAAAAAATTGTCATAGGGTTTATTTAGTGTCTTTCAAAACCAACTTGTCGGATTTTTCCCAAGGTTTATCCCACGGAAATCTTCCCAAAAGGGATAGACTGGGGGCCCTGAATCTGCACTCCCGAAAGGCGTAGAATTAAGGGGGGATACTTTAAAGGCGAAAAAAATGGAAAACGGGACTAAAAAAAAGAGTGTAAAGGGGGTGCTAAAAATATCCACCAAGACAGGATCCAGAAATGGTTTCAATTGGAAAGTCCTCATAGAACCAAGCCTTGTGAGTTTTAAAAATGGGTTGGATAAATCATAGTGGGTGTGATTGACTTGACAATTTGGGTTTACCAGGTCGGTGCCGTGCCCTTTCCCTTAAGGGGAAGTGACCTATAGGTGGTCATTTTCGGGACGGGGGGGGGCATGGACCTGTTTTCGCATGCGTCGAGGCCGTTGCAGCGTTCCTTTTTTTCTTATTTTTTTATTTGTACCGGGGCTCGGTGGCGGGTACACGGAGATATCAATGACTTACAAACTCTGAAGATTCACTTGATTACAAGTTTTAGTAAAAAGGGATCCACTGTCTCGCGCCTGGGAGGAGGATCAATCTCCAAAATGTTTTGCGCTAAAAATCCACAGGGGTTTTTGCGCTTAACATAAAATTATTTAACATTTATTTGTAAGATCCACTGGGGAAACCCGTCGCCTCTTTCCCCACATACGTCGAAACCACGGGCTTTTTAAAGGTTGTTCATTCAAGGTCTTTTTCTTTAAAGGTTTTGTTCATTCAAGGCTTTTTTATTTAAAGGGTCTTTTTCATTCAAGGTTTTGTTCATTCAAGGTCTTGTTCATTAAAGTTTTGTTCATTCAAGGTTTTGTTTATTCAAGGTCTTGTTCATTCAAGCTTGTTCATTAAAGGGTCTTGTTATTCAAGTCTTGTTCATTCAAGGCTTGTTCATTCAAGGTCTTTTCATTCAAGGTCTTTTTCTTTTCAAGGTCTTTTTCATTAAAGGGTCTTAACTATGGAGACGTTGACCACACCCAGCCGGAAAAACCCCCGTACACTGACCCCATTCTGCCCAAAGCTACTTGAAAAAAAAAAATTTACCAGAGAAAATAAAGGGTTTAAAAACACTTTCCACGAATCGACTTCAATCTAACTATGAACATTGAACGTCCATTAATTTTAAAAATTTGGGAATTTTTTTTTCAAAAAGTCCATATATTTTTTTGGGTATTTATATAAAAACATTTGTTAAAATGTATTTAAATTTGTATTAACAACTCGTGTGTGTGATAATTTACGTTACTAACCACGTGTTACAGCAGTCGTATTTATGAAACTTTTGTGAGTACCATTGGAACATATAATGTGTCCTGGAGAGGTTATAGATTCATCATGTAACACTGTGAGATCATTACCCAATAATCGAAATCGAGGGTGTTTTTACTTCTTTTGCCCAAATGTTTCCTCAAAACTCGTTAGTTGTTATTTTAAAGATTACCGGGTTTTTCCCCCGGCCCCGGGGCCCTTTTCCCAAGGGTTTTGGCCCGGTTTTGGCCCCCTCTTTGGGGAGTGTTGAACCAATTTTCCCAGGGAGGGGGCCAATACCTTCATCTTTGGGACCAACTTCCCCGGGGCCTAGCCCAACGGGCCTTCTGGTCTGCCACCCCGCCCCCAAAGGGGGGTAATGGGGAAAGACGTCTATGACTAAAGGGGTCGGGGGTCAGGCACCTACCCTACCCCGAAGGGTTTGGGGATGGGGTCGATGTCAAAACCGGGGGCCTCCGTGTGTACTCGAAATTATACTACTTAAAAAAAAAACTACTGTGAAATTTTACTACGTGAAATTATACACTGTGAAATTTTCACTATGTGAAATTATACTCTGTAAAATTATACTACTTTTAAATTATATATTTTTTAAAATTTTACTACGTGAAAAAATACTATGTGGGGAAATTTAAACGTGAAATTATACTGCTGTGAAATTTTATGCTTGAAATTATACTACTGTTAAAATTTTATTACGTTAAAATTTTACTACTGTTAAATTATACTACTGTTAAATTTACTACTGTGAAAAATACTACTGTGAAATTATACAAATGTTAAATTATACTCTGTGAAATTATACTACGTGAAAATTTTTATACTGTGAAATTTAAAATCTGGAAATTATACACGTGAAATTATATAAAGTGAAATTATATAAATAGGAAATAAGTTTCATTATTATTAGTAGTATAAAATACTATTTTTTAAATATGTAATAAAAAATAATTTAAAAGTAATTATTATTTTTATTTTTTTATTATTAAAATTATTTTTATTACATTATTATTTTTTCAAAATTATAATTTTTTATTATTATTTTATTTTTTTTTTTATTAATTTTTTGTTAAAACAAAGGCCCTTCCCACCAAAAGGGAGGGTGGCCTAAAAAGAAAAAAATTCACCTCATTTACTCCAACTGTCTTGCCCGAAGGGTGCTTTTCACTGTTTTTTTAAAAGCAACATTAAAAACCCCTCCTTTAGATGAGCCTGTACTTTCCCCTCTCCAGGACTAATCCGGGCCCGCCGGTTTCCCTGAAAACCCCCATAAATGTTATTTGCCACACTCCAACAGACGTCAATATTTAAAAAAAATTTGCCTCCATTCACTCCTATAAAACGCTCACGCACGCCCGCTGGAAATCCCAAACCCCCCGCACACAAAACTCCTTTAAAACCCCCTCTCTCCAACCTTTCTAGGCCGAAACCCCCACCCCCCCTTCCCCTTTCCCCTACAGACGAAACCTTGAAGTCATTCTGTTTCGCTCCATTCTCTCTATATGCCAACCCCCTCAACAACCCTTCCCCAGCCTCTGGACAACAGTTTTGTCAATCCCGCGCCTCCCCCTAAAATTTCCAAAATACAATTCTCTGCATTATATTCACACCCCCACATTCCTTTAAACATAATCTCCACTGCCCCCCAGCCTTCCCTGCTGCGCATTCATCACCCCCCTTCACACCCCAAAAAGGGGCGTTGGGAAAACAACTCTCTACATTCCCCTCTTTGCTTCCAAGGAAAAGTTCTTTTCTCCCAGACTCGTAAGTGCACCCCCTCACCATTTTCCCCCCATAATTCTATGATTCACCTCATCTTTCATAGCCCTCCGCTGAAATCCATCCCCAAAAAAAGAAACATTTACTCCTCTATACTCCTCCCCCCAACTGATATCCAATTTTCATCACCCAATCTTTTTTTCTATCCTCATAAACCCACCTTTCCTGATTCATTTCAATTTTCTTCTTTTGCACCCCTACCAAATTCATCCCCCAACCCCTGCAACTTCTCTTCAAATCCCCAAGGCACAGTGTCATCAGCAAAGAGCAACTGTGACAACTCCCACTTTGTGTGTGATTCTTTATCTTTTAACTCCACACCTCTTGCCAAGACCCTCGCATTTACTTCTCTTACAACCCCATGTTGAACAGCCACGGTGACATCACACATCCTTGTCTAAGGCCTACTTTTACTGGGAAATAATTTCCCTCTTTCCTACATACTCTAACTTGAGCCTCACTATCCTCGTAAAAACTCCTCACTGCTTTCAGTAACCTACCTCCTACACCATACACCTGCAACATCTGCCACATTGCCCCCCTACCAACCCTGTTATTATTATTATTGCATATTGTGTGAGGCTCTTATTGCATGGTAATAAGTTTAAATAAGTTGTATATAATAACTTCAAGATCTTAATCACATTAAGTCGAACCTGAACAATGTTTAATTTTTTTTTTACTCCTTATATCAATACTTTTGTCATTTTTTTATCCAGAGCCGCCGTAATTACGCTCCTCATATACACACAAAATGAGTGGATATTCATTCTCTTGAGCTGGACAGCGCCTCGTGATCTACCGGGTTTACATCTTCATAAGTAAACATCCTGGCCTGTTTATCCTTCGTCGAGATTATAAACTTTGCCCAAAATATTCAAATTTTGCTCCAGTGGTGATACTGACGAATTTTTATAACTTCATTACTTATTAGTAAAATAAGGTTTATTTGTGTTTACATCGTATCGACTACACAGTGTTTATCTTATCTGGAGAGAGTTCCGGGGGTCAACGCCCCCGCGGCCCGGTCTGTGACCAGGCCTCCTTAGGTCAGTGTCCCAGGATGCGACCCACACCAGTCGACTAACACCCAGGTACCCATTTTACTGATGGGGAACATAGACAACAGGTGGAAAGAAACACGTCCAATGTTTCTACTCTGGCTGGGAATCGAACCCAGGCCCTCACCGTGTGAAGCGAGATCGTTAACCACCAGGCCACCAATACTGTGTTGTATATCACCTGTTCACCACCAGTCAAGAATACTGTATTCCCTAATATATACATTAAATTATTTGTATACATCCACTGAAAGAGATACATATCTATGTTATATATACACCTACAGTTATACATCGCTAAATGACCTGACCTGACTAGGCCAAGGCATTGGCTTAAGCCGGTGGGAGAATTGGATCTGCCTCGCATAGGCCAGTAGGCCTGTTGTAGTGTTCCTTCTTTCTTATGTTCTTATGAATATGTACACCAAAACAAATAAGCAGAATTATATTTTGTTATAAAACTGCTGAAGATTCTTGATAGACAAGACTCATTGTTCTTGTTTGCCGTTGATGATCATGATGTAAATATGATGAATATACCAGACAGAACATTTACATCAAAAAATTATCGGTTTTTAATTATACATTCTATCAATGAAGGACAGGCAGTGATTAAAAGATTATATAATATATCATTTTATTTATGAATGCAAAAATAATTATTCATTTAAAAATACAGCAGCACATGCATAGTTATACAAGTATCAGATTGTGACTTGAGAAAAATAAGTTCTTTGAAAAATGCATAACTTGTAGCACAGCAAAGGAAATACAGCTAGAAATCTATATCTATACTGATACATGAAGGATCATGGCAGCGGAGGTGTTTCTCTGTAGGACACGTTAGAGTATCTCACGCGGCATTTATCCTTCAGCATAACAGAAGAGAGTGATGGGCGGGAGAGACGCGTTGTTGCTTAAATATAATAGTTCACTGGGCGCCGTGAAGCTGCGTTAAGTATGTACAGCCGCAGTTGTTGGGTCGATGAGTAAACGGTACGGAAATTACTGTTCAATTCTTAGTAAAGAATTATTTTCCTGGTGCTGAGTATAACTGCGAGGGAGCTGGGACAGGCTGTAGAGGAGCTGGGGCAGGCTGAGAGAACACCTGTCTAGGAGCCTGGATGGGGTGAGAGAACACTTGCCTAGGAGCTGGGGCGGGCTGTGGAAACACTTGCCTAGGAGCTTGAGCGGGCTGGGAGTAAACACTTGCAGGACCGCTGGGAAACTGGGCCTCTCCCTCGAAGGTGATGGTGGGATGATAGCCGGTGCTGTCAACGTAGTAGTCAACCCGCATGAGACGAGAGTCAGGCAGCTGCACATAGTAACTGTGGACGAAGTACTGCTTAGTACACACCTTTAACTCTCAACTGAAGTTCTTAAGACTCACAGAAGTGTTTTACGAAATACTAAATACAAAAAAAAGTTGAATAAGCATAAGAAATCCTCTTTCCAAGAACCATGATGTTGATGCAGTGATGGAGAAATTTTTCTTCCTTTACACAGTAATTGCAATTTATTTACCTTTAAATTTCCGTATATGGAGTTCGAAGAACACACTACTGTGTTTGTATTTTGCATTATGTCTCTCACTGCTTCAGTAGACTCACCTGCCTCTGGTGATGTCGCCGTCCCTCTCCTCCTGGTGGCCGAAGAAGTTACCTGACGGTGCATCGTTGACGTCCCACTGGAAGTTGTACTGGGCGGGGCCGGAGGCAAAGTCGGGTCCCCTTACTGACGGGGCCTGGTAGCCGTAGTCACCCTGGGCAGCTGCCCACGACACCAACACCACCAGGAGCACTAAAGCCACTGTCTGGTGGAACAGATACGTCAGTTTACATCAGTATAAGCTTTTTATTACAAACCCTAATTGCATTTTTGTTACAGAAATGTTCGGATATTTAATTCGAGCTGAAAAAAATACTGAGTTTTGAACGTTAATAATATGTAGGTTGAAAGAATATTCTGCCTCGTGATTAACAGTTCATCAACATATCTTTGTACTGCGGCTGTGTTTACGTTGAGACTTCTGAAACTGAGTAAGATAAACAAAACATAGGTGGAACACATGGGCAAGATGAAATGAACACTTCCATTCAATGCTGAGGGATAATCACCTCAAACTACTCTTTCACGTCTTCCACCGTCTCCAATACTATTATGTACTGTACTAGACTGATAAAGCTACTGTTTGGCGAGACGTCTCTGCAAGATGGATGTCCAGGCGTCGCACATATATTTTTTTTATGTACTTATTGGTTTCGTAGGCTAATAAGACAATATCCCACAGATGCTTCTTAGTTATATTCTAAAGTTTATGTGAAGGTGAATGACCCGTGAGGGTCTTATACGGTAGCGCAAAGACTGAGGCAGCTTGATCCTCCCTCTGCTCACTACGAGGTAGTCAATACCAGACTGCACTTACGGACTGCCTCACAATCTCCTGAAGCCTTTAGAAACATTTATGGTAATAGAGGCGCGTGAGAAAGTATTTTGCAATTTTCGCTGCAGCACAAGGCAAACATAAGACTGTCTTGCAAGTTCGCTATTATGAGTGTTGATTGCTAGCAAGATTGTTAATTGAGTTTCAACCGTATCAGCTACTCGGTCATTAAGGCTACACCTAACCTGCTCACCATTACTCAAGAATACGTTGATCTCTAAAACTCAGTGTATATGCGCTGAGGTGCACACACCTCTCGGCGTATATACCTTTGTGTAGGTTTGTGTGAGGTGAGGTACCTTCATGATGATGTCGTGTTGACGGACTGAGATGATGTGATGCCCGGACATCACCACTCTGCCTTATATTGGTCGAGGGTGAGGTCAACAGTGTCAAGGTGGCGAGCATCGTGTCAGCTGACAACTCCCTAAACCAGTCTTCTTCCCTTTGTTGGTGGAATTAGCAAGTCACTCTTCAGTACCGAGTTGTGAACCCGACGAGCGGAATTAGGCAGCAGCGACAACAAGAGGAGAACCACATAACACACAGACACACACACACACACACACACACACACACACACACACACACACACACACACACACACACACACATGGCTTCTCGAATTTAATCCTGCCAAATGCAAAGTCATGAAGATAGGGGAAGGGCACAGAAGACCACAGACAGAGTATAGGCTAGGTGGCCAAAGACTGCAAACCTCACTCAAGGAGAAAGATCTTGGGGTGAGTATAACACCGAGCATGTCTCCGGAAGCACACATCAATCAGATAACTGCTGCAGCATATGGGCGCCTGGCAAACCTGAGAACAGCATTCCGACACCTTAGTAAGGAATCATTCAAGACACTGTACACCGTGTATGTCAGGCCCATACTGGAGTATGCAGCACCTGTTTGGAACCCGCACTTGATAAAGCACGTCAAGAAACTAGAGAAAGTACAAAGGTTTGCAACAAGGTTAGTTCCAGAGCTAAGGGGAATGTCCTATGAAGAAAGATTAAGGGAAATCGGCCTGACGACACTGGAGGACAGGAGGGTCAGGGGAGACATGATAACGACATATAAAATACTGCGTGGAATAGACAAGGTGGACAAGGACAGGATGTTCCAGGGAGGGGACACAGAAACAAGAGCCCACAATTGGAAGTTGAAGACACAAATGAGTCAGAGAGATAGTAGGAAGTATTTCTTCAGTCATAGAGTTGTAAGGCAGTGGAATAGCCTAGAAAATGACGTAGTGGAGGCAGGAACCATACACAGTTTTAAGACGAGGTTTGATAAAGCTCATGGAGCGGGGAGAGAGAGGGTCTAGTAGCAACCGGTGAAGAGGCGGGGCCAGGAGCTAGGACTCGACCCCTGCAACCACAAATAGGTGAGTACAAATAGGTGAGTACACACACACACACACACACACACACACACACACACACACACACACACACACACAGGATGTTCCAGAGAGGGGACACAGAAATAAGGGGTCACAATTGGAAGCTGAAGGCTCAGACGAGTCACAAGGATGTTAGGAAGTATTTCTTCGGTCATAGTGTCGTCAGGAGGTGGAATAGCCTAGAAAGTGACGTAGTGGAGGCAGGAACCATACATGGCTTTAAGACGAGGTATGACAAAGCTCAGGAAGCGGAGAGAGAGAACCTAGTAGCGATCAGAGAAGAGGAGGGGCCAGGAGCTGAGTCTCGACTCCTGCAACCACAATTAGGTGAGTACACACACGCAGGGAGAGAGTGGACCTACTAGCAACCAGTGAAGAAGCGGGGTCAGGAGCTGTGACTCGGCCCCTGCAACCACAAATAGGTGAGCACACACACACACACACCACATGTATTAAAACAACAAAATATATAAGATTAGGCCCTTTTTACTGTAAATCAATGCTAAGAAATTTATATTATATAAGCATATGGATGTATTAGAGCATATGGGTAATACAGTCGAGTAGTCAACATTGAACAGTCGAGGAATAAGGGGACTGTGTTGTGTTTACTGCGACGATCCTCAGGCCCCCGGGGAGGGGGGGGGTTGAGGGTCTCCACTGGATCGATAATATTCGTGTTATTCTGGTACAGTTGAGTGAGGTCTTCGCCTCAGATGTATAACATACTGGCATTATGTTTTGTCTTATAGGTTTATGTATGCTTAACATCTATATCAAATAGTGTCTAAATGTTAATTATCATGACTCTTATTTTTGACAAGTTCCTTTTTTGCTTTGGGTTGATATCTGTTTTTCATTAAATTGTTTAATTAAACTTCGTGTCAAGTTCAACATCTTTTTTTTTCTTTTTCCTCTACAAATAATTTCACACCCAGTGTATGGAGTCGTAAATTAATTATCTCTGACTTGAATTATTACTGAGCTGCCAAAATAAACGACATCATATATCGTACTTGATATACTTAACAATATTTTGGCTGGTCTATTGGGTCTTGATCAGATGTCCAAAAGATCCATGCAGGAGAAACACACACATATAACATTTAAGAAGGGATTCAGAGCAACCGGTTGGTTGGACTTGAGTCCTGGAGGTGGGAAGTACAGCAGACTAGAGGAGGAGTGGAGGATGTTGCACTTCGGAGGGTAATATATGTGCACTCCTGGCAACATTGCTGTTTACTGAATAATGGTGAATGTGTTTCTTTTGTCAGGTCGCCATACCTTAGTAGGAAACTGCTGGTGTTAAAATAGATTAATTTCACCCATAGTGTTGTCTACCGACTCAACGGTAACTAAAGAAATGTTGAAAATGGTATAAAATGCAGACAAGTTGATGATTAAGACACACGTGCAACAGTTGGGTGTCTTTATTGATGAAACGACGGAGCCTACCGTGTAGGCGAAACGTTTCGACAATAAAGATACCCAACTGTTGCACGTGTGTCTTAATCATCGAAGAGATGCTGTATTTATCTCCGGAAGTCTGCAGATACTTGGAGAAATTTTCAGAGTACAGTGAAACGTAGCTGCTCGTAATTTGGTTTTCAAGTTGTTGTTTTTTTTTGGTAAGGGCTAAACCCATGTGAATTATTCAGTGCAAAAAGTAGTAAAGGTTCGAACCTCGAATCAGTTAATCGTGAAAGACACGTAATGATTTAGCTCACTTTATTTGTACGGAATTTTTGGAGAAAAGGAATTAGAACTGTCAGACATTTCCCAGCAGTAGAACTTCAGAAAAAAATTGTATATGATTTTCATTATTAAAAAACTTTTAAGATTCAAAATTTTTTATTCATTATATATTTCTATAATCTTTGTACAAATATATGTCTGTAACGAACTTGTCAGCAAGAGGTGAAAACCGTACTAGTTGGGCAGTACTTGACGAGGAGCGTGAATAACACACAACAGGAGTGGCAGAACAACAAAGATTAGCACCAGGAGTTCTAGCTGCTTCAGCACTAGAGGCTGGAGATTCTTCATTAAAAGGTTATTCCACATCAGAGGCTGACGAGCCTTCTAAGAAAGATACCATTGGGTTGTGCATCCATCAGGGCTGTCAGTTCTTCAGCACCGGGACCTGCGGATCCTTCGGAATCGGCACCAGTAATTGTGGGTCCTTCAGGATCATCTGTTCTTCACTACTAGGAGCTGGAGATCTTTCAGAACCAGCACCAGGGACAGGAGATCCTTCTAGACCAGCAGAATTTCAGCAACATGGATTGGGATCTTTTAGCATAATTTATTTTGAGTCAACAGGAGTCGTTTGTTCTTTAAGACCAGCAGGTCTTCAACACTGGAGGCTGGCTGAAAGGTCTTCAGAATCAACACCAAGAGCTGGAGATCCGTTAGAACCAGCAAATCTTCAGCACCAGGAACTGGAGATTCGTTAGAACCAGCAAATCTTCAGCACCAGGGACTGGAGATTCGTTAGAACCAGCTGGTCTTCAACAACCAGGAGCTGAGGATTCTTGAGAACCACAAGTCTTCAACACCAAGGGCTAGAGATCCATTAGAACCAGCAAGTCTTCAACACCAGGGGCTAAAAGCCCTTTAGAACCTGCAAAACTCCAGCATCAGGAGCCAAAGACCCTTCACAGCCTACAGAACTAAAGCTCCACTCACTACCGCGAGGCAGAGACTCCAAAATATGTCTTGAGGCGCATTACGACACAACGTATATAATAAGTACTAATATATGAAAATCTAATGCGGGGTTCATTGGGGATATTCCGCTGCAAATATGGAATGTCATCCGTGACTCCTATTTTCCTGGCTGTGAGTAGAATTGTGTTGGAGGCTGAGAAAACACTTCCCTATGGGGTGAGGCTGGCTGGGAGTACGTAGGGCTAAGAGATGCAGAGGGCTGGGAGAACACCTGTCTAGGAGCAGCTGAGGTTGGCTGTGAGTAGGTCTGCCTCAGGGCTGGGGCTGGCTGGGAGTACGTCTGCCTTAGACCTGGGGCTGGCTGGGAGTGCGTCTGCCTCAGACCTGGAGCTGGTTGGGAGTACGTCTGCCTTGGAACTTCGGCAGGCTGAGAATACGTCTGCCTAGGAGCTTCGGCGGGCTGGGAAAATACCTGCCTAGGGCCAGAGGCTGGCTGGGAGTAACCCCTAGTAGAGTCGCTGGGAAACTGGGCCTCTCCCTCGAAGGAGATGGAGGGATGGTAGCCGGTGCTGTCAGCATAATAGTCAACCCTCATGATACGGGTGTCAGGCAGCCTCACGTAGTAACTGTGGACAGAATACTACTTAGTACATATCTTCAACCCTCGACTCCGGGCTTTTGAGTCTCAGAGAAGTACTTTAAGGAAAAATAGATGAAAAAATATATGCCAAGGAAACCTCTTTCAGAGTAAAAGAAATAATGATGTTATTGCAAATATTAAGAATCAAAACACATATGTCTAATAAACATGTTTAATGGCTAGCGTCTTCCTGACTGAGAAATTTAAGGGATCATCACACTAGTGTAGGGACACCCAGGGACTTATTTACAGTGGGGAGCAAAATATACTTTTGTTGCATAGGAAAATGTCCCTTAGAAAGTCTTGATATAAAACGCAAATGCCAGTTTACATAACGTTATCTATCTACCTCACCGAAGAGCGATAGATAGATAGGAAGAGGTAACACTTGGTACTGTTATTCTCTGTGAGCTTTGCGAGCAGTATGTGCAATACAAGAGGTGACACAATGTTTCCTCTTGTCTCCTCCAGTGGGCACCCGTCTTGTGTTTTATGCCTTTTTTTATATTGTTTGCCGGTTGCTTTACACTCACCTGCCCTGTGTGTTGTCGCCTTCCCTCTGTTCCCTGTGGCCGTAGTAGTTAGCTGAGTATTCATCGTTGACCTCCCACTGGTAGTTGTACTGGGCGGGGGAGGAGGAATACTGGGGTCCCTGTTGTGACGGGGCCTGGTAGTTGTAGTCACCCTGGGGCGCTGCCCACGATACCACCGCCACACACAGCACCAGAGACACTGTCTGAGGGAGGAATAACTGTTAGGGCCAGTACTGGGATACTCACGTCACGTCAGAGTAAGGGATACTCACCTTGGTTCAGCTGTCTTTTTAAAATTCCTGTCATCTCGCTGGAGCCTATATCACGTCTACAGAGAAGCCGAAAGGTTGGTAAATGTTTTCTGTAACGCAGTTAAATGATTCTATATCAGGGTATAACCGAAGGTTCAACCACTTCGCAAAGTGACTGAGAAATATATATTTCTCGCCTCACCTTGAAATCAAGAACAGGAAGGTAAGAGGTTCTTGTCTGCATGAGTGACTGGGACTCGGTGTAGCTCGTCTGCTAATTGCTATCACTCCTTGGAAATGCCTCTGTCATTTCCTGGAAAGGAGGGCGTCTGCCACTTTCTTGGAAGGGCCGTCTGCCTCCAGCTTCCTGGGAAGCAAAGAGGTGCCATTTCCTAAGCAGTTAGGTCTGCCACTCAAGCATTTCCCCTCAGTTCTTTACGACCCTCCCATATATACCGATAAGAAATGCACTACCGAATACTGCGCAGGTACATATATATAAAACACATATAAACATAAGCTATAACACAACATGTACCAGAACAAGTCTCTAATGGTACAATGTTTCGCTCGTATTAGAGAGTCTTCAAGTCCTGACAGCGCGAAACATTGTTTCAAATGACGGCTTCTTCAGTTACATGTGTCTTTACCATTTTAAAATGAAAATGAATTACTGGTCAAACTTATTTTGAACCATAACGCGAGAATGTTGTGAAAAGTGACTAAGCTGAAAGAATACCAGTTTGGATTTAAGAATTTTAGGAAGAGCGTACATATTAAACAACTTAAACCCGTTGAAAATTATATAAAATATCTTGTAGGCGAAACGTTTCAACATATGTCTCTTACTCATCAACATGAAACCCGGTCTCAGCTATAATGATACTTCAATTAACTTACTCTGAGAAAATTATAGTTTACCCTCTATTCAGTTGCGCTCAAGTTTTCTGTTTACATTCACTTTTGGTTCACACAGGACATGCGACACATGTCGCATGTCCTAATTTCTTCAAAATTTATCGTGTTTTGCTAATGTGTCATTCTATTTTCTTTAGTTTACTGTGGACGTCGAACATTACTATGTCATGTTCCAAAATATGATGATGGTGATGGATTTATCACCGAAATGTTGATTTACTCTACAGTAGATATTCCATGTATGATACGTATATATTTTAGAGTGTTATGTTTATAGGAAACATGGCTGACTTAATTAACTGAAACATAACACGGTAAGGAAGCCACGTATAGAAGAAAATGAAGGTCGGATTAAGTGGTAGAAAATTCTAGTGAAGAAAGGACAGTCTGCAGAACTTGTTTTATAGGGGAGAACGCCACAAATAACAAGCGAAAGTTGGGTAGAATCACGTATAAATAGAACTACTTTGAGGACCAGCCAGGGTTGGGTATAGTCGCTGTGTAAATAGAACCTTTCCCTCTCTTCTAAACAACAGAATCCATTAAACGTGACTATCACTATTGTGAGATGTTTTAGTATAGAGGATATGGTCCCTGACTAAGTAGCTAGGTGTTCCAGAGGTCAGGTACCTTCATCGTTGCGAGCTGGGGATGAGGTCTGAGATGAACTGCTTCCTGCAGCCTCACACTCAGCCTTATATTGGTCGGGGATCCAAGATATGGCCTTGCCCGACTCGTGACGTCATAACTACAATGTAGGGAAAAAACTCATTAGTTTATCATAGCCCAGTAAAGTCTCCTCCCTCTTTTCTTTATGAGTAAAGGGAGAGTGGATTTATGTCAAGCCGAAACGGCATGACAAAGTTCCCGGAGAGCGAAACGGCATGACAAAGTTCATGGAGAGCGAAACGTTACCACAATAGCGTCACATTAGTTGCATCTGTGTCCATTTACCTAACATTATGTCGGTAATTCGACCATTATTACTAAGTTCATTGAGGTACAGGTACACGTAAGTACAATTATACATACTAACATACATGTAAATTACCCAACATAACCCCAAAAACGTCAAAGTGACTTATTATTATTAATTATTTGTGATATATATCACAAAGACTATTTAAAAACCTAACTGAAAGATACAGAAGCATACACACTTGATTGTAACTTTAAAAATTAAAATGGCTGAGTGACTCACCTGTGTGAAGATCATTGTGAGGACAAAGGTACAATGGGAATAAAGTGAACCGAATTATTTACATGAACATGGGGTCTTTATTGCAAAGAATGGGTCGTTCTGTGGATGAATAGGTCTTTAATTAGAGGAAGAGGGTCTTCCGTGGAAGGGGGACATTTTATGGGGACGAGATGTTTTATGGGTGAGAAATATCCTGAGGGATGTCTGTTGTGGCTGAGATATTTTGAATGTAAGGAAATGAGATAGATAAATATACAGATAGATAAATAGATAGATAAAGAGAGAGAGAGAGAGAGAGAGAGAGAGAGAGAGAGAGAGAGAGAGAGAGAGAGAGAGAGAGAGAGAGAGAGAGAGAGAGAGAGAGAGAGGGTGTTCTGTTATGGAAAAGAGGCCATTAACAAAGACATGAACATGAACATGAAAGGCATTAGCCTTTATGAGAGCAATATCTTTTATGAAAGAGCAATATTTTATGGCTTTAGTATGAGAGGCATTCATGAGAGACCACCATCGCATGGGAAGTCTGAAGACTGACAACATACAGGCACCTTAACCCTGAAGGAACGTAAATACCACACAAGGAAAATGAACGCCGATACAGAATAACATTTCCCTATACGGAGGGTTCGTAAAATCGAATGAAGGTACACATCGCTGGTTGTTGAAAAAAACTAGGAACACTGAGGCCTAGTGCAAAAAAAAAAAAAAAGTGGATTCGACACACACATGTACATCCTGGTACCTTTCACGGCATCTACCTAACAATAACGTTGTCTTGAAATGGTGCAGATTTCAAGGTGAAATGTGTCTGGCTGGACCTCACTTCCTCCTCGTTTGTGTTAGGAAATCTGTGTTGTCATGTGCCAGCTCAAAACACCTAAGCAAGAATCAGATGTGCAGAAGGATAGATCTACCGTGAAAATACACGCACCATAGAGCAAACCACCGTGAAAATAGTTGTATAGGAGGGGAAGCCAACTGTTAAAACTGCTTCATGGGTGAGTAACCTACCGTGAAAATAATTTATAACCTAGAGGATTTTGCAAGAAATGCGTTGTATCAGAAATGGGTCATTAGACGTATATAAACGTCAGCAGGTCTCCAAGAATTGTGGCATCCTCAACACATTGCCAGGCCGCAATGTCCAAGTTAATACGGATCCAGGATACACGCCAGAGTCAGCACATCACAGGACGCACACCAAAGTCAGCGTGGATCCCCGGACACATCCCTGTTAGCGCACTTCCAAGCTTTCAATGCACCTCAAAGTTACATTTCATTCCCAGCGTATCTTAAGAACACACATTATTGTCAGTATCTTCAAACAATGGAGCAAAGATGCTATTGATGTTTGGCTATCAGCGACAAATGGTTCAGAATACTTTCGCATACCAAGAGAGTAAATACCACTCTTTATGCAGATTTCCGTGACTTAACCATAGTGTTAATAGCACCTCGAGTGCCTAACCGCAGTCAGCTGTGGCCAGGTCGGTAATGCCGGACCCCAGACATAGGACTGGAATCACGAAGCTCCAGCCATAAGGGCTGACTCATTGGAACCTAGTCATAGAGCCTGACTCACCGGAACCTAGTCATAGGGTTTGACTCACTGAAACCTAGTCACAGGGCCTGTTTCACTGGAACCTAGTCATAGGGCCTGACTCACTGGAACCTAGTCATAGGGCCTGAATCACTGGAACCTAGTCATAGGGCCTGAATCACTGGAACTTAGTCATAGGGCCTGAATCACTGGAACCTAGTCATAGGGTCTGAATCACTGGAACCTAGTCATAGGGCCTGACTCACTGGAACCTAGTCATAGGGCCTGAATCACTGGAACCTAGTCATAGGGCCTGAATCACTGGAACCTAGTCATAGGGTTTGACTCACTGGAACATAGTCATAGGGCCTGACTCACTGGAACCTAGTCATAGGGCCTGACTCACTGGAACCTAGTCATAGGGCCTGACTCACTGGAACCTAGTCATAGGGTCTGAATCACTGGAACCTAGTCATAGGGCCTGAATCACTGGAACCTAGTCATAGGGCCTGAATCACTGAAACCTAGTCATAGGGCCTGACTCACTGGAACCTAGTAAAGGGGCCTCAATTACTGGAACCTAGTCATAGGGTTTGACTCACTGGAACCTAGTCATAGGGCCTGACTCACTGGAACCTAGTCATAGAGCCTAACTCACTGGAACCTAGTCATAGGGCCTGAACCACTGGAACCTAGTCATAGGGCCTGAATCACTGGAATCTAGTCATAGGGTTTGACTCACTGGAACCTAGTCATAGGGTCTGACTCACTGGAACCTAGTCATAGGGCCTGAATCACTGGAACCTAGTCATAGGGCCTTACTCACTGGAACCTAGTCATAGGGTTTGACTCACTGGAACCTAGTCATAGGGCCTGAATCACTGGAACCTAGTCATAGGGCCTGAATCACTGGAACCTAGTCATAGAGCCTGACTCACTGGAACCTAGTCATAGGGCCTGAATCACTGGAACCTAGTCATAGGGCCTCAGTCACTGGAACCTAGTCATAGGGCCTGACTCAATGGAACCTAGTCATAGAGCCTGACTCACTGGAACCTAGTCATAGGGCCTGAATCGCTGGAACCTATTCATAGGGCCTGACTCACTGGAACTTAGTCATAGGGCCTGAATCGCTGGAACCTATTCATAGGGCCTGACTCACTGGAACTTAGTCATAGGGCCTGACTCACTGGAACCTAGTCATAGGGCCTGAATCACTGGAACATAGTCATATGGCCTGACTCACTGGAACCTAGTCATAGGGCCTCACTCACTGGAACCTAGTCATAGGGCCTGACTCACTGGAACCTAGTCATAGAGCCTGACTCACTGGAACCTAGTCATAGGGCCTGAATCGCTGGAACCTAGTCATAGGGCCTGACTCACTGGAACTTAGTCATAGGGCCTGACTCACTGGAACCTAGTCATGGGGCCTGAATCACTGGAACCTAGTCATAGGGCCTGACTCACTGGAACCTAGTCATAGGGCCTGACTCACTGGAACCTAGTCATAGAGCCTGACTCACTGGAACCTAGTCATAGGGCCTGAATCACTGGAACCTAGTCATAGGGCCTGACTCACTGGAACCTAGTCATAAGGTTTGACTCACTGGAACATAGTCATAGGGACTGAATCACTGGAACCTAGTCATATGGCCTGACTCACTGGAACCTAGTCATAGGGCCTCAGTCACTGGAACCTAGTCATAGAGCCTGACTCACTGGAACCTAGTCATAGGGCCTGACTCACTGGAACCTAGTCATAAGGTTTGACTCACTGGAACCTAGTCATAGAGCCTGACTCACTGGAACCTAGTCATAGGGCCTGACTCACTGGAACCTAGTCATATGGCCTTACTCACTGGAACCTAGTCATAGGGCCTGACTCACTGGAACCTAGTCATAGGGCCTGACTCACTGGAACCTAGTCATAGGGTTTGACTCACTGGAACCTAGTCATAGGGCCTGACTCACTGGAACCTAGTCATAGGGCCTGAATCACTGGAACCTAGTCATAGGGCCTGACTCACTGGAACCTAGTCATAGGGCCTGAATCACTGGAACCTAGTCATAGGGCCTGACTCACTGGAACCTAGTCATAGGGCCTGACTCACTGGAACCTAGTCATAGGGCCTGACTCACTGGAACCTAGTCATAGGGCCTGACTCACTGGAACCTAGTCATAGGGCCTGAATCACTGGAACCTAGTCATAGGGATTGAATTACTGGAACCTAGTCATAGGGTCTGACTCACTGGAACCTAGTCATAGGGCCTGACTCACTGGAACCTAGTAATAGGGCCTGACTCACTGGAACCTAGTCATAGGGCCTGACTCACTGGAACCTAGTCATAGGGCCTGACTCACTGGAACCTAGTCATAGGGCCTGACTCACTGGAGCCTAGTCATAGGGCCTGAATCACTGGAACCTAGTCATAGGGCCTCAATCACTGGAACCTAGTCATAGGGCCTGACTCACTGGAACCTAGTCATAGGGCCTGAATCACTGGAACCTAGTCATAGGGCCTGAATCACTGGAACCTAGTCATAGGGCCTCAATCACTGGAACCTAGTCATAGGGCCTCAATCACTGGAACCTAGTCATAGGGCCTCAATCACTGGAACCTAGTCATAGGGCCTCAATCACTGGAACCTAGTCATAGGGCCTCAATCACTGGAACCTAGTCATAGGGCCTCAATCACTGGAACCTAGTCATAGGGCCTCAATCACTGGAACCTAGTCATAGGGCCTCAATCACTGGAACCTAGTCATAGGGCCTCAATCACTGGGCCTCAGCCATAAGGTCATTAACAGTACCTCCTTCTACATCGACATTTAGAATATTAATACACACAAGACACAATGTTTCAAAGAAACACTCTCTTCAGAATTCAGCCAATTCAAAATTTGTCAATAGAATACAAAATGTACTGTATATCCCAAAGACACACGATGCGTGCAAAAAAAAAAAAGAATAGGTGTAGAGGTGGGAAGATG